AGGACTAAACCGGTCGTAAGTCGAGGACTAAACCGGTCGTAAGTCGAGGACTTTCCCTGCCCGGGAGCGCCGCGCATGCGTGGTTCCGCCCCCTGCGCCGGCCGAGGCGTAGCTGGCAAGCGGCAGAGACGGAGCAGGCCGACCACCAGCTGGCCCAGCCCAAGGGAGGTAAGGCACCCGCCGGAAAAGGGGGAAAAAATGGCGGACAAAAAAAATGGTGGACAGCCTTGCTTGGCGACCCCCATTTAATGGTCGATCGACCCCAAATGGGGTCCCGACCCACAGGTTGAGAACCACTGCCCTATACCATTTCAGACAAATGGCTGTCCAGTCTCTTCTTAAAAATCTCCAGTGTTGGAGCATTCACCGCTTCTGGAGGCAGGTGGTTCCACTGGTTAATTGTTCTAACTGTCAGGAAATTTCTCCTTAGTTCCAGGTTGCTTCTCTCCTTGATGAGTTTCCATCCGTTGCTTCTTGTCTTTGCCCTCAGGCACTTTGGAGAATAGCTTGACTCCCTCTTCTTTGGGGCAGCCCCTGAGATACTGGAAGACTGCTATCCTGTCCTTCTCTTCATTAAACTAGCCACGCCCAGTATAGCCTAGCTAGCTGGGGAATTCTGGGAGTTGAAAGCCGGACGTTGAGGAAGGCTGCCCTAGAGACCCTCCCAGAGGAATGCCTGTCCCACTTGGGGCTTGAAGCCCCCCAGAGAGAAGAACCCCCTCCACCACTCCAGGGGGCTCTTCCTCCATTGGAGTCCAGCTGTCCAACTGCCCTGGCCGGCCTTTCTGCCCTCGGGCACCGCAGAGAACGGACCCACCTGCCTGGCACAGGTGAGCCCAACCCGCCGGCCTTCCTTTGCAGGGTCCAGCGCTGCTTCGCTCTATCCGGTCCTCAACTTCCTCCTCTACGTCCCCGAGCGGCTGCATTCGCCCCTCTACATCCGGGGCAAGGAGGGGGCCGCGGTGCCCACCAACGCCTTCCACAGTCCCCGCTGGGGAGGGATCATGGTGAGGAGCGTGGCGGCTTCGTGGCACGTTGCCTGCCAGAATTAGGGGGGGGGTTGGACCGGGTTTCTGCCTCGGCAAAGGGCAACCGAGAGGGGGCCCCTTTCGTGGCCCCTGGGGGCCGCAGACTCTGCTTCCCTGCTCTAAGCGGCTGCCCCCCTTTGCCAGGTCTACAATCTTGAGCCTGGCGCTGCCAACGAGACCGCCTTGCCCAGGAGGGTGGAGGTGGACATGGTGCGCACGATGGAGGTCTTCCTGGCCCAGCTGCGGTGAGCACAGCGTGGGGGGTTTTGGGGTGGGGTGGGGGGCTGTCTTGGTTACACTCTCTGTCCAGGCAGGAGGAGGTTTCCTAAAGCACTCCCCTCTCCCCTTGGTTTAATGCAGTCAGAGGGGGCCCAAGAGGTCATCTAGTCCAACCCTGTCTCTGCTTAAAGACTGAACAGGGATGAATCCTCCTCATCTCTAGTTCTGGCTTTGTGGGGGTTGGTTCCCCCCCCCTCAGATAGAGGTCTGTCATTCCACTGGGGCAGGGTTGGGGAACCTTGGCTCTTTTATGATTGGTGGACTTCAACTCCCAGAATTCCTGAGCCAGCATGGGGGAACTACAGCCCCCTCATGACTCGTGGACTTCAACTTTCCAACGGCATTGGTCACATTGGTGAATGATCTCTGGAGGGCCCGGGACAGGGGTTATTCCTCTGTCCTAGTTCTTTTGGACCTCTCAGCGGCTTTTGATACCGTGGACCACGGTATCATGCTGCGGCGCCTGGTGGGGTTGGGAGTGGGAGGTACCGTTATGCGGTGGTTCTCCTCCTTCCTCACCGACCGTACGCAGTCTNCATTGGTGAATGATCTCTGGAGGGCCCGGGACAGGGGTTATTCCTCTGTCCTAGTTCTTTTGGACCTCTCAGCGGCTTTTGATACCGTGGACCACGGTATCATGCTGCGGCGCCTGGTGGGGTTGGGAGTGGGAGGTACCGTTATGCGGTGGTTCTCCTCCTTCCTCACCGACCGTACGCAGTCTGTATTGGCAGGGGGACAGAGGTCGACTCCTAGACCCCTAACTTGTGGGGTGCCACAAGGGTCGGTCCTCTCCCCCTTATTGTTCAATATTTATGTGAAGCCGCTGGGGGAGATCATCCGTGGCTTTGGGGTGGATTTCCATCAGTACGCTGATGATACTCAGCTGTACATTTCCACCCCAGGCCACCCCAACGATGCCCTTGACGTGATGGCCCGGTGTCTGGAGGCCGTACGGGTCTGGATGGGGAGAAACAGACTCAGGCTCAACCCTTCCAAGACGGAGTGGCTGTGGTTGCCGGCTCCCAGGTATGGTCAGCTGACTCCATCGCTGACTATAGGGGGCGAAACTTTGGCCCCCTCGGAGAGGGTACGCAACCTGGGGGTCCTCCTGGATCCACGGCTGACACTGGAAGACCAGTTGACGGCTGTGGCCAGGGGGGCGTTCTACCGGGTACGTCTGGTTTACCAGTTGCGGCCTTTTCTGGACCGGGACGCCTTGCGCACAGTCACCCACGCTCTTGTCACCTCCCGCCTGGACTACTGCAATGCTCTCTACATGGGGCTCCCCTTGAGGAGCACCCGGAGGCTCCAGCTAGTCCAGAATGCGGCCGCGCGGGCGGTGATGGGAGTGACTCGTCGCTCCCATGTAACGCCGCTGCTGCGCGAGCTGCACTGGCTGCCGGTGGCTTTCCGGGTGCGCTTCAAGGTGCTGATTATCACCTTCAAAGCGCACCATGGCATCGGACCTGGATATCTCCGAGACCGCCTCCTGCCGCAGATTACCCCCCATCGGCCAGTACGCTCCCACAGAGAGGGTCTCCTCAGGGTGCCGTCGGCCAGACAGTGCCGGCTGGCGACCCCCAGGGGGAGGGCCTTCTCTGTTGGAGCCCCCACCCTCTGGAACGAACTACCCCCAGAGATCCGGGTGATTCCGGATCTCCCCTCCTTCCGCCACACCCTCAAGACATGGCTATTCAAGTTAGCAGGACTGGTCTAAGGGTTATTTTAATTTGGTTTTAAAATAATTTAAAATGTATTTTTGGTTCTAGAGTGATGTTTCATTGTGGTTGGTGTGTTGAGTTGGGCATTTTTGTATTTGTGTATTTGTTTTTGAATGGTTGTGAGCCGCCCTGGGTCCGCAGGGAGAAGGGCGGGGTAGAAATATAATAAATAAATAAATAAATAAATAAACTCCCAGAATTCCTGAGCCAGCATGGGGGAACTATGGCCCCTTCATGACTGGTGGACTTCAACTCCCAGAATTCCTGAGCCAGCATGGGGGAACTATGGCCCCTTCATGACTGGTGGACTTCAACTCCCAGAATTCCTGAGCCAGCCTGGCTCAGCTTGGAAACCTCTCCCTTTCCCCTCAGCATGGCTGGCTCAGGAATTCTGGGAGTTGAAGTCCAGGAGTCATGAAGGGGCCATAGTTCCCCATGCTGGCTGAGGAATTCTGGGAGTTGAAGTCCACGAGTCATAAAAGAGCCAAGGTTCCCCACCCCTGGTCTAGTGGCTTGCATGGAGGGCCCAGGGTTATTGCTATGGGTCTGCCCCCCCTCCCCACATCAGCTTTTCCAACAGCTCCCCAGGGGAACCTCTCACCACCTGACTGCTGGCTGGTTCTGCCACTGCCATAAAGCAGCCGGGCTGTGCTGCCCCGCTGGGGGTTCCCTGCCCCCCCAGGCCTTCTCCCCAAAAGCTCTGGGGGCACAGGGACCCGAATTCAGCCACCTCCTGATGCTTTGCTTGCCCCCTCCCCAGATTACTGTTCGGCATCTCCTCCGGCCCACTGCCAGGAGGGGCTTTGCTGGAGACCCCCGGGAACGAGGGCCTGACGGACTGGGAGCTGGACCGCCTGCTGTGGACCCGCACGGTGGAAAACGTGGCCACCGTCTCCACCACGCTGACCTCGCTGGCTCAGCTGCTGGACAAGATCAGCAACATTGTCATCAAGGACGACGTGGCCTCGGAGGTACACGGACGGGCATGTGGGGGGTCAGTGGGGACCTTCCAGGGGTGGGGTTCAGGGGTCACAGCCCTCCTCAGTGCCTTGCCTTCTCCCGCCAGGTCTACCACGCCGTGGAGTCTGCCCGGCAGGCGATGACGGAGCTCAGCCTGGGTCACCTGGACTCGGCGTTCCAGGCCAGCAAGGCTGCGGCCACCTCCTCCGAGCGGGCCTTCTTCGACCCCTCCCTCCTGCACCTACTCTACTTTCCCGACGACCAGAAGTTCGCCATCTACATCCCGCTCTTCCTGCCCATGGCCGTGCCCATCCTGCTCTCGCTGATGAAGATGGCTTGGGAGAGGAAGCAGCGCCAGAAGGAGTCCGCCAAGATGGACTGAGGGGGCTTCTGGACACCCAGGCAGGGGGCGGACTCTTGGCCGGGCAGCTGCCCCTAACGGTGGTAGGTCCGGCCAGCACGACGGACTCCCCGTTGAGGAGAGGAGCTGCCGTTTCCACTTGGCTCCTCCTTCAAAAGAGCACGTCCCTTTCGCTGCGAACGAGCCCAAAGGACTTCGGAAGCTCTCCTGATGGCTGGCCAGGCTGGACGACTGGGGGATCGCTGCACGGTGTGTGTGTGTGTGTGTGTGTCTCCCTTTCGAAATCTGCCCAGCTGATGCAGTGAGGTCTCTTGGAGGGCACAGTTCTTCTCCTCCCCCCCCCCCGAAGCCCCCAAAACCAGAATGGGGAGGTCCCCCCCGTTGCCTCCCGAGCAACTGTCGGATCGATCTTCCATTAAAGTCTGGTTGGCTGACCGGTGGAAGCTCTGAGCCTCTTTTGCAGCTCACCTGTGTTTTTTTGGGGGGGGGGCAGCCAGTGAGGAGGCGGTCCAGAGGCTGCTTGCAAACAAGGAAAGCCAAAAGCAGGTTTGTTTGTTTGTTTGTTTGTTAAATTTCTGTGCTGCCCAGCTCACCAAGGACGGCTTACAATATGAAAAGTAAAAATGGGCTAGGTTGGGTAGGCAACCTTGGCTCTTTTATGACTGGTGGACTTCAACTCCCAGAATTCCTGAGCCAGCATGGGGGAACTATGGACCCTTCATGACTTTGTGGACTTCAACTCCCAGAATTCCTGAGCCAGCATGGGGGAACTATGGACCCTTCATGACTGGTGGACTTCAACTCCCAGAATTCCTGAGCCAGCATGGGGGAACTATGGACCCCTTCATGACTTGTGAATTTCAACTCCCAGAATTCCTGAGCCAGCCTGGCTCAGCTTGGAAACCTCTCCCTTTCCCTTCAGCAAGGCTGGCTCAGGAATTCTGGGAGTTGAAGTCCACCAGTCATAAAAGAGCCAAGGTTGCCTACCCCTGGCCTAGGTCTTAAGTCACCAAGGAGATTCTAGCCTTGGGTCTCAAAGCTTGGCAACTTTAAAGCCTACGGACAGTTTGATTGATTGATTGGCATCTCGCATTTATTATTTTTACAAATAACTCAAGGCAGCGAACCTATCCAATATACCTTCCTCGTCCTCTTTTCCCGACAACCACAACCCTTTGAGGTGAATTGGGCTGAGAGAGACGGACGGGTCCAAAGTCACCCAGCCGGCTTTCATGCATAAAGGACTAGAACTCACCGTCTCCTGGTGATTGGCCCAAAATCATCCAGGCAGCTTTCACACCTAAGGCAGGACTAGAACTCACCGTCTCCTGGTGAGTGGCCCAAAGTCACCCAGCCGGCTTCCATGGCTAAGGCGGGACTAGAACTCACCATCTAGTGATTGGCGACTAGAACTCATCGTCTCCTGGTGATTGGCCCAAAGTCACCCAGACGGCTTTTGTGCCTAAAGGTGGGACTAGAACTCGTCTCCTGTTGATTGGCCCAAAGTCACCCAGCTGCTTTCATGCCTAAGGCGGGACTAGAATTCACCATCTAGTGATTGGCCCAAAATCATCCAGCCGGCTTTCATGCCTAAAGGCGGGACTAGAACTCACCACCTCCTGGTGATTGGCCCAAAGTCACCCAGCTGGCTTTCGTGCCTAAGGCGGGACTAGAACTCACCACCTGATGATTGGCCCAAAGTCACCCAGCCGGCTTTCGTGCCTAAAGGCGGGATTAGAACTCACCGTCTCCTGGTGTCTTAACCATTAGACCCAATTGGCTCTCTTACAGTTAAACTTGGGAAAACGAGATTTAGTCATCCTGTATAAATTTAAACATTCATGGAAAAATTATACGGCTTCCATCTCCTAGCCTGCTCATGAAACAGCATCGCAGACAGACCTCGCCTGACCTCGCACCCAAATCCCTGGGAAACAGCCAGGACGCAGATTGGGGGCACCTCAATCTCTAGGCGATGGGTGTTCCAGCGGGCAGGTGCTGCCCCAGGGGAGAAGACCCCGGGGTCCCACTGAGTGGCGTGGTTTGATGGAAGGGGCCCAGGGCAGGCCCTCCTGGCGAGAACTGCGGAGCGACGGTGGTGCTGCCCCCAAACCGCTTGACCCCCTGCCCCACTGGGCTTCCCGCGTGCAACTGGCAGCCGGAAGCCTTTTCCGCGGTTGGCGGTTCTTCGCAAAGACGGTCCCGCCTACAGCACCTTCGAGTAATCTAGATCTCGAATGGCGCATCTGCAAACTGAGATTTACAGTGTAGAACGTGGGACTCCAACCTCGGCCGCTTTAAGGCCTGTGGACTTCAACTCCCAGAATTCCCCAGCCAGCAGAGCTGGCTGGGGAATTCTGGGAATTGAAGTCCACAGGTCTTAAAAGATTGGCTACCTGTGGTCTAGTGCAGTGGTTCTCAACCTGTGGGTCAGGACCCCATTTGGGGTCGATCGACCATTTCATGGGGGTCGCCAAGCAAGGCTGTCCGCCATTTTTTTTGTCCGCCATTTTTTTTGTCAGCCATTTTTTTTGTCAGCCATTTTTTCCCCCTTTTCCGGCGGGTGCCTTGCCTCCCTTGGGCTGGGCCAGCTGGTGGTCGGCCTGCTCCGTCTCTGCCGCTTGCCAGCTACGCCTCGGCTGGCGCAGGGGGCGGAACCACACATGCGCGGCGCTCCCGGGCAGGGAAAGTCCTCGACTTACGACCGGTTGGGTAGTCCTTGACTTACGACCGGTTTAGTCCTCGACTTACGACCGGTCTAGTCCTCGACTTACGACCGGTTGGGGTCGCGGCATTAAAAAGGTTGAGAACCACTGGTGTAGAACGTGGGAATCCAACCT